AAACTGGAGACCCCATAGCACACCCATGTTTCTGCCTATAATATTGCTCCCCATATGTGAAGTAGGTTGACTGCAGGCACAGTTTCAAGAGTTGACACAGTTGTTCTGTAGAAAGCGTGGTCCTGCTGCTCAGAGTGGTGTCTGATGTTAATTTTAAACTGACCACCTCTACTGCATCATCAACAGGAATGCACGTAATGAGTGATGTGACATCAAAAGAGACTTTGTAGAACGGTGCTTTATGAAATTCAGTTCATTTCCTTGTATCAGTTGACCTGCAGTTCTGCCACATCCAATATGGCGGCCTCTCCAACGTATCACAGAAACGGGTCAGCCCACTCAGCGAGGTGTTTACTAAAACTGCCTCAACACCCAAGATGACAATAGCCAATCAGTGATGGAGAAAGGTCAGGGGAGCTTTGCTATGAAATAATGATGATTGTTTGAAATTTGTTCAATAAGTTAACTCAAAAACCATCGATCTGACTCCAAATGCGCCCAAATTATCCCCACCCGCATTATCCCCACCCGCCCAAAGCAAATTTTACCCACAAAATCAGAATGAAAGCCGTCCAATTGGCTGTAAACTGCCCAATCTGGCAACACTGCCTTGCAGGTGTTTATTTATTTATTTATTTATTTTCTTTAAACCACGTGACAGTTTGTGATGCACTCTATCGCAACCTGTATGTTCAAAAATCCACACTGAAATAAGAGTTTGTTTAAAAAACAAACAAACAAACAAACAAACAAAAAACAAGAAGGTCAAAGCCCCCATTTTATTTACAATAAAACTTTAAATAAAATATTTAAATATTACAATAAAACAATACAACTTCAAATATTACAGTTGCGATTTGGTTTCATTACATGATGAAATCTTTACAGAAACACCAAGATCTGTGGGTTGCTGTTAAATTTCAGCCTTTATGATTGAAATTACATGTTGTACTTGAAAGCAAGAAAGTGGGTAAGCCACATTGCATGCTGGGTATTCTTAAGACAGGAATGGGTGTATTTTTTCAGGTTGTGTTTAGATGGGTTGTCCCTGTTGGTTGTTTTGTTGAGTGTTGCCTTTAAATTTATGCTCAGGTTGTTGGTGATTGTAAAAGAAACGACACTTTACGGCAGATGTTAATATAGAATATATTAAATTCTTTATAAACGGTTTGTTTTGTCAGTGTGACACGTTACGTCAGATGTTGTACTTGATGTATAAAAACGGGGGAATCTCTTCCAGTTGAGTGAAGTTTCTGGTTTGTGTAAGTGAAAGTAAAATGATGTAATCAGATGCCGCTCCATAGCATTTTCAAGGTTAACCTTTATCAGACACTCTACGATAACTTATCTTAACAGAAGACCTAGCTCTTGCAGTCACCGTTCATCACTGTTGGATATTAAAACCATTTCTTAAACATTTGGTGCAAAATAAACGGATAATCAAACAGAAATGAGTTCAATATTAATACGAGTGTAGGACAGATTTAAGAGTGTTTTCTATAAAGTTATCTGACATATTTTACATATCAGTGAAGGTCAGTTTATATCCAATGGACTTGTATCTGTCCTTTAGTCTGATCTCTGCAAACATGGAACACTTTGTACAGAACAAGTGTACAAGCTGGATCAACACGGGACACTTATGATAGAAGAATATATCAGATTATTTACAAATTTTCAGTGTGACGCACTGGAACATCATGTTGATGGAGAAACGCTGCACATTCACCAGACATAAGGACAACAAATGTTGTTTAAGTGTTCTCCTAGTTGACTTTTTATTGTGATTTCTAAAATATTTGTATATATTTTATCTCCCACAGCCATGAAACGTGGGAGATCATGTAGTCACTTGTCTCTCTGTGTCTATTTGTTCATTTTTCTCTGTGAGCAAAACATCTCAAGAACTACAGAACAGATTGGAACAAAACTCTGGAAGGTGTTCCTTTATAACCGATTGATGTTGGGATTGAACTTGTTTCAAGATGGCCGCCGCAGCTAATTGAATTTAGGAACAGAAACAAATGACCGACTCGGTCAGTTTTACAGATATTGAGCAAAACGTTGACGTGGCAGCAGCTGAGAGTCGTCTCCAACACACAGTCTGAGCTCTAACAGATCAGATCTGTGCTTAAGTCTACACTGTACGTATTTCTGCAAGGACTACTAGTTTGCATTTATTTATTTATTTATTTATTCAGCTTCATCATGAGGTAACATTTTTCACAAAACACATTAAAAATGTGTGTCAAAAGATTTTCTGTACCCAACAGACGTTGTGACACACGTTTTTCAAAACGTGGTTTTTGAATTGCCAAAGTTTTTAGTGTTTTGGTAAAACATCCATCATCTTTTACCCGCTTCTTCCATTTTGGGTCACGGGTTCGCCAGTGTCCATGTCCAGCAATCACTGTGCGAGGGGCGGGGGACACCCTGGACAGGTCTCCAGTCCATCACAGAGACACATAGAGACAAATGAGACAAACAACCATTCACTCTCTCACTCACACCTAGGGACAATTTAGAGTTACCAATCAGCCTAACATGCATGTTTTTGGTCTGTGGGAGGAAACCGGAGCACCCAGAGAAAACCCACGCATGCACGGAGAGAACATGCAAACTCCACCCAGAAAGGCCCCTGGACTGGGATTTGAACCAGGGACCTGCTTGCTGAGAGGCAGCAGCTCTACCAGTTGTGTCATCTGCAGTATATTTAGGTTTCACAAAAAAAGGTTAAATCATGTCATCTGGACAGTTTCTTTTCTGACAAAATGTTTCATCTTTCATCAGAAAGACTTCTTCAGTCTGAGGCCTGCCACCAAGGTCTGTAATATAAATAGCACCTTATTGACGTGTTTCAAGCCAGCCCTCTGTGGAATTCCCACAAACTGGCTTTACACATGCACGAAGAGGCCCATGAGTCTAAAACAATCAATCATCAATGCATAACAATCAAATGTTATAGGCAAATTGGCTGCTTACTACTCACCGATCCAGGCCGAGGACAACCTGGCCAAAATGTAAAAAAACAAAACAAAGAAAAAGAGTACAGCATCAATCATCCAGGTAAATAAATCACAAAAACGGTTAAATCATGTCATCTGGACAGATTCTTTTTTGGAGAAATGGATGAAAGACGAAACGTTTCTCCAAAAAGAAACTGTCCAGATGGCACGATTTAACTTTTTTTGTGATTTATTTACCTTTTTATTTACTCTTTTTTTAAAATATATTTACGTTTGTTGTTGTATCCCACCTCTCATAGCTGCTGTGTTGTTTTTAACAGCAGTATAATATGGGTTTTTAGGTGATGTCATTCCCAAACAGAAGGGTAAAAAGAACGATTTCCAGCCGGGTTTGATAGGAAGACACTGGCTGGACCTGTTGAAAAAGCCTCCTGTTTGGTAAGCCTCACTTTGTTTTGTCTCTATAAACAGTCCAATACCTGTGAACATGTATTTATCTGACTCCATCACTGGTGTAACTTAATTCAAGATGGCCACCACAGCTAATGGAATATTGTAACTCCTCTTTAGGGCCATGGTGTTTGCTCATATGTGCCTGTGCAGCACAGCCTGCACTCTGTTATCATGGCTGCCAACGTACTTCAAGGAATCGTTTCCTGAAGCCGCGGTACGTCCACTCTGCTGCTTCGGACTCAACTTGCTTCACTGTAGCTTTCACACGATTCAGGAAAAATGTCTCAACCACCTTCAAACAAATTGTGTTGCATCTGTTCCTCCAGTCGTGGGTGTATAATGTTCTTCCATGGCTAACTGCTATTCCTTCAGCTCTTGGAGGAGGAGTTGTGTCAGATTTCCTCATTACCAAAGGTAGAAAAAGTTTTTTTTTTTTTTTTTTAGGGTTTCAAAGAGAATTTAAAGCTGTGCAATATTTTCTAATTCATAATTTACACATGTTTTTTTTTTCTTTAGGATACAGTGTAGTGTCTGTGAGAAAAATAATGCAAGTAAGTACAAATACATTATTGTCACACGTGTCTCCATTAAATGCTGAAGTTTTGTTTTCTATTTTAAATTTGCCATCCATCCATCCATCCATCCATCCATCCATCCATCCATCCATCCA